AACCAGGTGCCATTCGCGGCACCAACCACGGGAGACTGGGAAACAAGGAAGCAGGAAGGCATGAGATTACCAGCAGAGATGATCAAGGCACTGGGATAAATATGAAGGAGAGATTTGATTGATGCACGCACGAATTTTATGCACCATGAGAATGGCGTGCAGGCTTCACGACATGCTTTGTGAACCCTACAATGGAAGGCACGTGATGTGGTGTGTCTACGGAGTGCTAAGCAAACTGATTAATGCCACATGTTTAAAAATATCATATACATGATTCTGGCTCAGAGAACTGAGGCAGAAGCTTCAGAAGTGGGTGCGGAATGAGAGGAACCTTCTGGTGGTGAGTGTGACCAGCGAGAACACACTTTTGAGAGTGTGATCGATGATTGGAGAAAATGGGAATCGACTGGAGAGACGGCAGCCGGTGAAGTCATTGCATAGGGGGCAGCGAGCAGTGGCCAGAGTTGCAGGTGGAGAGTCAGATGAAGGTGTCGCGGGAAGAGGAGTGCGACAGGGATGCGCCCCGTCCCCATCACCATTTAATAGACGTGAGCAGCAATGGTGAGGTAATCATGGATGCACGTTGAGGAACGAAGGATGAAAGTTGTGGCAGACTTCTAAAGCGTTTCGGTTTGAGGTGTGAAATGAGGTTGAGGCGCTGAATGTAAACAATCATCGGGACAGAAATAGAGAGTATTGAAGAAGCGCTAAAGTTGGGGAGCGGGAGGAGAAGTCTGATTGGATCAATTCTAGAAGACAAACATCTGGACTGGGCATGCAGCTGGGTATGTGAGGGCCTTCGGAAGGAAACTCTATAATGAAGGACCATCATAACAACATTCGCGAGGTAGAAAAGGGATAGCGGTGCTTGGCAGCATAGAGAATAGAGGATAGAAACACGAGCATCGGGGCAGGCGAGTGTCGGCACGGGGGGCTCGTGCGTGCAGTGAGCGTGCGCACTGGTGCTGCTGTGGCTGGGCTGGCAGGTCTCTGAGCTACGGTGCCATCGGAGTCATCGTGGGACACGAATTCACTCACGGCTTCGACAGCAATGGTGAGAAGAGGTTTCCACGCTCACGGTGACGGCACCACACGCATCGCCAATCAGCACCATCGTCTCGTCGTGGCTGCTTTTACTCAACACTAAAAGCGATAGAATGCACAGCCCAGCGGCACGGCAGTAACAGATTTGGAAAAGTATTTCTCGTCGCTTTTTTGTGCGGCAGGGAGGGGCACAGTAGTGACGCTCGTGCATTCCCAGCAAGACGTGCCGGGGTTCAACTCCCGCCTCGAGTGCCTTTCCGTGTGGAGTTCTCCCCCTGTTCTGCAGGTGTTTCCTCTGGGTTCACCCCTGTTACCTCCTATAGCTAAAACACCAACGTATCACTGGTATTGGCTATACATCCCTTTGCTGAAAATGTACCTGCAAATCACTCAAGTGGGATCTCATATAACAGCAACATTGCCACCGACTGAAACAATCTGGAAGTATCCTCCTGAAAACGAGTTCTGAGACTCGGTGAGGCATTGCTGAGTAAACGAGCGCAATAATGGATGTTCACCAAGTTATGGCCTGAGGTCAAATGTTGGAGGGAGCTCTGGAGGTGATTGACAGGAGAGTTCTAAGCGAGAGTGGGGTTGCACCGGGTACCAGCGTGGAGTCCACTGCTGGTGTCACCTTGTTGGTTCGATTTAAAGCTTTCGTGACTGCAGGGATTCATCTTCTTGGTTCTTTCGGTAAAGTCACGTAGAAGGGAAGTAATAAAATAATAAAATAATAAAATGAAACATAATAAATAATTCTCACGACGTTTCGGCCACAACGCAAGCAGCCGTCCTCAGGTGAAGACCAGGTCTGTCGGGGAGACAGCGTCTGAATGAAACACCACCACACTTGGAGCGTATATTTAAGCTGGGTTGGAAGGGGGGAAGGGCGCTTGATAAATGATTTGCATATCAAGAGGAATTTTGCATATTTATGGGAAATGCAGGTATGTGATTAGTACCTACTTGTGAACATGCGTAGGAGGTGGGCGGGGGGGTTTCACAAGTCATATTATGCCCGTGCATTATGCAGGATTAGCATCATCAAAGGGAGGGGATAGGGGTAGCATTAATAAAGGAAAGGAATGTTAATAGTATGTAGCTGCAGTAACTAAACAACTAAACAACCGTGTTGGTTGTTTGGGTGAAGCCAGGAGAGGAGCTGTTGTGAGGGCCAGCAGTCCACAATTGTTCGGTGATGAAGGGAAGCCTCTCTCTGGCCCTGGGGAAGCTTCACTTTCTCAAGGAACTTGATCTGCCACATCGTTTCATTGCAGGAAGGAAATACGACAAACATGGCAACCTGCACCAATGGTGGAGCAACGCATCGATTGCGCACTTCTCTGAGAAGGCGCAGTGCATGATCGAGCAGTACAACAACTACTACTGGAAGGAAGCGCAGCTGCCTGTGAGCAACCACAGGACCATCCGCCATAGGCAACGCATTCTTTGCCTCGCCACAACATGCCTGCCTCGTCGTCACCACCATCCTCATCATCTACTGCTGGACGAAGGTCCCCAGTGGTCACTTCATGTGTGCAGTCGAGCCCTGACTGTCAGCGCCGGCGATTGGGGAATCCTCTCGCCGATTCTAAAAGTGTTGTCTGCCCATGACCTGCCGGTCACGGCACCGCAGACCGCCTGTAGTCAGCGGGGAGGAACTTTCGCGTCCCCGATTCCCCGGCGTGTGTCTGTAGCTGACGCAGAGAGCGCTCGGTGTGATGCGCCCTGCGAGGACACGCGGTTAATCGGCTCTGTCCTGCGGCGTGCAGCTCAAGGGCAAGAGGACACTGGGAGAGAACATCGCCGACAGTGGGGGAGTTCGAGAAGCCTTCAGGGTAAGGACCCACGACACGGGGAGACAAACACATCCGTGAGTCTCGCTATGGCACAGCGATCCCGGTACAGGCAAGGGCAGCAGCCAGGTTCTCACAGAACAGGGAGGGCACTCGCACACAAACCACGTGATGCTGACTGCAGGATTATCACTTCGCTCATGTGCGGCTACATTTTCACTCTTGCTCATGACTGCTTTTGTTATTATTATGCTTGCTAACCCTGGAAAGCCTCAACGATTGACTATACTCTTCTTCAGGAGAGTCCTACGAAGTTTTCACAGGGTCATGTTCCTATGCGTAATCCCAACTGAGTAAATTTGGAGGTATTTTTTCAACATTATGGCCAGTTACATTGTTTAACTATGGGAGGAAACCAGAAAATCCAGAGGAAACCCATGCAGAACGATGGGAGAACATACAAACTCGTCACAGAAAAGGCACTCGAAGTCGGTAATAAATCCTGACCCTTCTTGATGTGAGGTACAAGAGTTACCAAGTGTCACCCTGCCATCCTATTATATGCCCTCGAGCATTCAAACACAAGCATGCTAACAGAGACACTTAAGATCAGTCCCCTATCCGCAAACCCACGTGAGTCCACAAAGCTCCAGGAGTTGAAGCAAAAGGTGCCCTCTGCAAGACGTTGTGCCTGGGAGCATGTGGATGGCACACATTGATACCAGTACGCATAGGTGTTCCTATATTGACGGGATTTACAGAGGACTGATGTTTAATATCAGTGCGTACGATCCCCTGGTGCACTGTTCCTGCCTTGCCAAGCAGCCCCCATCCCTCCACCCTAGGAGCCGAGGAGCGGTGATTGTGTGTGTCTCAGTGTCTTGTGCTTGCGTGCTTGCGTCTGTGTAGGCGTATAGGAAATGGATCAAGGACAGCCGGGGTGGGCAGGAGGAGCCTCTGCTACCTGGACTCAACCTGACCCACAACCAGCTGTTCTTCATCAGTTACGCACATGTATGGGCACATGCACGCACCATCTTCATGAGATTACTCCCCTTTTGTTAGTGGAATCCTAATTACGTCGTGATGACGATGCGCCATGCCAGCCTTTATAGTCTGTGTGCTACGTGGTATGCGGGATGTGGTACATGGTGTTAAGTATGTGGTACATTTATGCGGTGCGTAGTATGTGGCATGTATGTGGCATGTAATTTGATGCGTGCCGTGTGTGTTGCGTGGCGGTAACTGTATCACTGTGGTGGGTTTGGTGTGTCCAGGTGCGGTGCCAAGCACACCGGCCTGGGGAAGCCAGGCAGATGGTGCTCGTCGGGGCTCACAGCCCTCCGGAGTTCAGGTGACGACAACGTCGGCCACGCTGTTCACACTTGTGCCCGGGCCATAGGCATCTTCTGCGTGAATTGTCCTCGACATGGAGTCTGAACGCTGGCTCAGCGCGTTGTTTTAGGGGTGGACTGCCGTTAAAATCTCACCATTTCTGCTGTTGTGGTAACTTTAAATTGACTTTGAGGCCAAGTTACACCCGTGAGAAATAATAGTTATATTGTCTTTGTAATATTTGCCCAATATTATGATGGCTGAGATTATGTGGAAGCCGCTTGATCACAAGAACATCTTCATGTTAAACTAGAATCGAGGTGACTATACCATCAACACCCGGTGGGCTTTGCCTTGCTACATGACCGACGTCCGCTGGTGAGCATCGTGACGTTGTGTCGGGGTGTATGTAGTGGTGGTGCAGTGAGGGCAACAAGCACTGTACTTGAAACCTGGCAAACTAGATTCAATTACAGATCACGGCAAACATCCGTGATACTTGAAATTATTATTGCGTTCTTCTAGGTCGACTCAGCCTAAAACGACTGCCTGTTTTGGTGTGTGAATATCAGCATTGAAGAGACAAGACGGCCGGGCGTGATTCTGACCATACCACCCGCTCAGTGTGCCATGCCAGACTTAATAGGTGCTCGCTAACAGCACTTGTCTATGTGGGCTACACGGTGGATCTCTGTCTCTAAGTTTGTGTGTGTGTGTGTGGCGTGCTGGTGCTGTTTGTTTCTGCAGAGTCCTGGGATCGATGAGTAACTTTCCGGAGTTTGCCCGCGCGTTCCACTGTGCGGAAGGCAGCACGATGAACCGTGGCAAGCAGGCGTGCCGCGTCTGGTGAAGCAAGCGCGGGACCGGTCCCCCATCCCCTAGGGACTGCACGGACATTTCCAGCCGATGTATGCCGACTTGTTTAGGGGAACCATACTCAATGACAAACCTCCCCAATAAAAAAAATCAACGAGAAATTAGGATTTATTTTGTGCAGAGTGCGAAAAGAAAGCTGATGTGTTTTTTTTGCACATTTCCAACACGTCACTATATTGCACGGTTTAAATGTTCGGCAACATCCCACATTAAACACCGCAGCTCCATTGCTTCTGTTTGGCTGGGCAGAGACTGGGGCGATCTGAGACCTGACCCTTGCCCTCCCCGCTTGCATGGATAACCGAGCCCCACTTGCCAAACTAATTCCAGCAAAGATCCAGGAAAGAAATATGATTAGCCTATAACGCAAAAGAGGAATTTTAGATTTAAAATAATAAATTTAACGCACATGTAAAATAAGTAAGAAAAATTAGTCACTTGTCTTCATAAAGACAGATGAATAACTTTTTTACAATTAAACATCTCATTACCGTCTTAAATAAAATGAATTGCACCTTGCTAAATTATATTCTCTCATTGCCATGACAACGACCCACGTGAGTTGGGGCCAAGTTGAGCAGAGCCCTGGGAGCCCAGTTCTGCACCGGCTTCACTCCACACAATGCACAATTAGTTTAACATTTCAGAACTATCACTCTATTAGTCGTGTTTTACATCTAATAATTCACATATTAAAAAAAAGTATTTACTAAACGTAGAGGATTACACATTGACTGTGATTGCATATCCCTTCGAGGGAAACGCTCAAATACGTTGTGCTGTGTTGAGAGTGACGACGTGTGTGTGTTTTATATAAAAAAAGACATTTACAAACATGTTTTATTTTTATACATATATGGCCTAAAGAACCACAGGCAGTATATTGCTCAAGGTCGACGTGTAGCTTTAGCTCCACATCACTGTCAGCTGTGTAATTATTTGAATAGTGAGCCCAAGCTCTTGGGCGTACAGCGAGTGATATCGTGCATGCCGTGTGAGAGCTTGGAGGTGTTGTCCAAATCACCGACGGCTGCGCTAAACACCACCTTCACCACCTCCAGCTCGTGTTGACACCGGAGTCGGTGACCGTGCGCAGGCGTACGGTGAGAGCAGGTGGAGAGTGTGGTTCTATTCTCTGCTCACGTGTGATGGGAGCAGCAATGTGTTTAGGAGCTCGATGCCAATGTCGAGGACTGCTAGCCACGTCGAGAGGGCTTTAGGAGAGAGGGTTTGTGTAGTTTTGCTATTCTAATATTGAAGGGGCACAGACCAGTTTTACCATATGGTCCACAGTGTGGACTGCATGACCACAATCGCAATACTGTTGCTTGTCTTACATTTTTCATTTATGAAAGAAATTTGTGCATCGGCGTGTTTATGTTCTGATGATGTGGGTGATGGTTACGCCAGTGTCTTCGGGGAGTGTCAAAGCCAGGAGGGTACAATGGGTCTCAGATGAGGTGTTTATTCTGGAAGTCCTCGTTGTTCCACTGTTCCTCTTGATCTTGGCTACATTCTAGCGTGATCTCAGAAGGGGGAGCGGTACCTGAGTAGGTGGTCGGTGAGGTACATTGTTGAGGTCTTGGTTGATGGGTAGGTTGTCCGTGGCGAGATCACGTGTAAGCTCCCGTGAGGTTTGCAGAATGTTTGTCACAACATGGAGCCAGGCAGGGGGTTGGTGTAGATTTCGGGGTTCCGATTGTTTGTGTGTCTACACGCAAGTTTTGGCGTGAGGTCTGACCGCAGTGGCAGCAGCCCAGAGGGCCGGACCCGCAGGGCTCATGTGCGTTGGCGGTGTGACAGGCGGGCAGCTACACGGGCTGCCATTGTCGTGGGAACCGTATCACGTGAAGAACGCACACATGATGTAGCCTGGTCTTGGATAAATATTCCAATGCTGAAAATGTACCCGCAAATTGACTCCATTAGGGTTACACTCAGCAGCAACATCGCCCTCGGTTTGGTAAACTTGGCAGGACCCTCTTGAAAGAAAAAAAAGTCTTCAAACGTGTAGAAGCTATTCTGGGTAAACACGCTTCATAATGTACGTGCATGGGTGGTGATGCCTTCAAACAGGTGACTTCGCAAGCATTTCGTATTCTGACAGGGCAGCTGTACTATGTTGTCGAGGGATACGCGCTGAATATTCACAAAAGTAGCCGAAGGATTATGGAATATCTTGCGAAAAGCGATTGTACAATCCAAACTGGGTTTTAAAGAAAACGAATTAAAGTTTAGACACATCGCTGCTCCTCGCCTCATTGGCAGAAGGAGCGCGTGAATGGTGCCCCCCACGGAGGGCAACGGAGCGACTTGAACCCTCCGCAGGGAGCGCCTCGATGGCTGGCGGGGCTCGTTCCTGGAGACTGCACGGAGCTCTGGGATCCAGTGGATCTGTGCTTTCACATTCACACCACTCGGTGATGAGTAATCGTGGGTGTCAAATTCACACAATTTAAAATCCACATGCGGTGATGGTTGATACTTTTTCGCGCAAGTTTATTACGAATGAGTAAATGCTTAAGTTACTTTTTATCCAAAGACTGCAATGCGATATATGTGAACAGTCACCGCGTGCTTTATATCTGTTTTGTGCGATATTAAACGTTGTAAAAGTGATTTTTATTCTTTCGTCAACAGTAAAACATTATTGATCAATGCAAGAGTACAAGATTTAGCAGAACATTAAACCTCCAATCTACTTATATTGGAATGCTATTGTGTTAATACTCGTGTAAAACATTTGAGAATAAATCAGATTTAACCAAGGTTAAGTCAATTAATTAACAATGAGATACCCCTTTCAGATGTTGTCAATGGGCTTCTGCACAACGTGGACACATTCCACACTTTAGCGATGAGGGTAATCGGTGGTCGAGGTGTGCAGTGACTCCTTGCTCGAGCAAGCACGTCAACCCATCGTCAGGATGTAATTTAGATCGAACACTGCTGCAGCGTTTGTCCACCTCTCCTGCGGTGTCGTGCGTACGCACAAAGCCTGGAAGTTACGTCCACGCTGGGATGGCGGTTGTGCATTTAGTTTAGTGTCAACCCATTGGCTTCTTGCATTAATAAGCCACGTTTCCCAAAATCTAGATACCACCTTCAAATGACACTCCGCAATGTATATTGGGATTATTAGCTCTGAAAATCTTGACTTAGGCCTAAGTGAAATATCTTTGGTGTTCATGACCAAGGAGGCTGCATGCAGGTTGCTGATAGTAGTGATGATGATGTTGGTTTAGAGTTGTAACTGGCGCCGTGGAGCAGGTGGGGAGTAGAACACCGACTGGGCTGCAATGCCCTCTGATGACCACAGCGCGGCGCTCACTCGCCCGTCACTGCCCCCGCTTTGGGCTTGCGAGCTCTCACGAGATCGGGCACAAGCGTGACACAATTGTGTAAACAATGAATTGTAATTTATTATAATGGACGCATAATAATGGACTGTATTCGTTGAGCTTTAAACGTGACATTAAACTTGAGCGATGCCGAGGGCCGCGGTGCGGAGTCGCCGCCGTGATGCTGGTTCCGGGGCCCCTGGCGGCGGCTGGGCCCTGAGACACGCGGAGACGCTGGGAGACTCTGAGAGACGCTGAGAGACTCTGAGAGACGCTGAGAGACTCTGAGAGACGCACGGAGAGACGCACGGAGAGACGCTGGGAGACGCTGAGAGACTCTGGGAGAGGAGGAGGAGGCGGCGGCGCGTGATGATCCGCTTCGTGCTGCTGGTGAACGCGCAGGGCCGCGTGCGCCTCTCGCGCCACTTCGAGCGCCTCGGGGCGGCGCGCAGGAGGCTCGTGGAGGCCGCGGCGGCGCGGGCCGGGCTGGGGGCCGGAGACGGCGACCAGGTGCGGGGCAGCAGCAGCAGCAGTGGGGCCAGGGGCAGCAGTAGGGGCACGGGGCACGGGCAGCCGTAGGGGCACGGGGCAGCAGTGGGGGCACGGGCAGCAGTCGGGCCAAGGGCACGGGCAGCAGCAGGAGGGGCACGGGCAGCAGCAGGAGGGGCACGGGCAGCAGCAGGAGGGGCACGGGCAGCAGCAGGAGGGGCACGGGCAGCAGCAGTAGGGGCACGGGCAGCAGCAGGAGGGGCACGGGCAGCAGTAGTAGGGGCACGGGCAGCAGTAGGAGGGGCACGGGCAGCAGCAGGAGGGGCACGGGCAGCAGCAGTAGGGGCACGGGCAGCAGTAGTAGGGGCACGGGCAGCAGTAGTAGGGGCACGGGCAGCAGTAGTAGGGGCACGGGCAGCAGCAGGAGGGGCACGGGCAGCAGTGGGGGCACGGGGCAGGGCCCGCGAGACTCCGCGGCGCCTCCACCCAGGCAGCTGTGAAGGGGCCACCAAGGAGGGTCCGGATGGCAGCAGTCGCGGTGGTGGTCACCACCACCACTACCACTGGTGGTCACCACACCACTACCACCACTGGTGGTCACCACTACCACCACTGGTGGTCACCACACCACCGGTGGTGGTAGTGGTGGTGGCGGCTCACTGCGAGAAGGGCCCTGTGGGTTCGCTCCCCAGGCTTGGGCGCCTTTTGTGCGGAGCCTCTTCTCCGGTTTCTGCTCTCGGCGAGACGCTTGCACACACACAGTGGGGCCGCAGTGCACTCCAGCACACCGTGTGCTGCACGGGTAACGCATTGGCATTACTACTAACCTTACTAGTTCTCTGTGTTGGGTGGTGGCGGGTTTAACGACACATTTCTATTTACGCGATCTTAACCAAACAATCCCTATATTATGAGTGAATTGGCCAAATATACATCCGAATGCTGAAAATAATGACACATACAATTACAGTACCTGCAAATCACGCGCACAGTAGCAGCGTCGCCCTCTGCTGGCGAAACACGGCGCGGCAGGACCCTCTTGACAACGATCTTAAAACTCGGCGAGGCTTAATACAATAAGTTGGGCAAAAAAACTAGTTCTTCAATGCACACACTTTTATTTGCACTTACAAGTAGAATGTACATTAATTTGACCCCAGAATTAATCACATTCTATATGTTTAATTTCTTTATGCAACGAGTTTTTTTGTTAACCAAAATATTTATATGTTAGTCTTGTAAAATCAATGTGTATATTACATGTTCATTCTAAGATCTCAATCCAGACAATAACAATCGTAAATCATTGTCCAGAGGCCCAGGATCGGCGAGCCCTGGACCGGTTCTTTGAATGAAATCTCAATTGTCAAGAAATATCAGCTCGTTAGGCTTCGTAGATCCGAAGATATTCAGCGTCAAATATATGAAAGAATATAAACAGACAGCAGCACAAGTTAAATAAAAGTGTGTACAAACATCCGCTGTCGAGACGGAGCCCAATCACCTCCAGTATATAAACAACTCGCCTTTAGCCCGTCCAAGGACGGGTGCAATGCAGTAAATGTGAAACTTGCAAGCGAAAATCAGACCACGACTTGATATTCATTGCATCCATTCGTGTGCAATTTGTAAGGGCGCGGTGACAGACTTCATTCATTTAAAGGTTATAATCCCTTGTTCACCACGACGTCCTTTTTACTTTGATGTCTCAACAACAGCGTGACGGAGATCGCGTGACGTGAGGGCTCTGCCTTTGTAGTGAGGGTTGTAAGGGACGCCGAGGGGGGGGGAGTGACGTCAGCCGCTAATTATTATGAATGGGGGAGGGGGTGTCCATTTGGAGGACGTCACCTGCTCATGAATATTAATTAGGGGGTATGGTCGATGTTGAGTGGCGTCACGAGCATTAAGGACAGACATTCCAGGGTGATGATAGGTATGCTCGTATATGGATAATGCATGTACAGGCATCTTGTCTCAGTGTCTCCCTCGCAGTGAACCTGCCAAGAGAACCACAACTGAGATTACACCTTCAGACAAAAGCGGTCACGCGCATTCACCTGCAATATGTATACGGTAGATTTAAAAGGGTAATGAGAACAGTTCAGAGGGCAATGATCAGGACCAGGGTAAACAAACAAATCTTGTTTGCACAGAGTCATGGCAACAGTGAGAATTACCAGGTAGTACCAGTCGGCCAACCCCTGTCTCAGAGTTTCCTGTCCCAGTAACTCCTGGTACCCGAGTTTGCCAGTGAGGGGGCCCAGGGCAACTGAGCAATGAGAAGTTGTCAGAAATTCGAGTGAACAACTCAGTTCCACTCATTCTTTTAGCTGCAAGACGCCGCAGTCTTGCAAATGTTTGTTTCTGACAGGCAGGGGTTTTCCTATCATCTATCAACCTGCCGCCCAAGGGCCCACAGAAGAAGCCTCCACGAGGTCACAAAAAGTCCACCAGAAGATTCTTCTGCCATGGGAGGTATTGCCTCAGTAGGCAGCCTGAACTTAAAGGAGGGAAGGCAGGTTGTCAGGACGCCAGGGGAAATTTCTGGGATACGGGGAGATACGGAGACACGTGTGGGGATGATTGCTTGTTATTGATGCCGGCTGCGATTGCACTGACATTGCTCGGAGTGTGCGGGCCTCCGCGGTGGGTGGTGATGCACAGGGTTGTGCCCATGGCTGTTGCAGTGCTCGTTCGTGGACTACAAGGACTATCGCCTGGTGTCACGCCGCTACGCCGCGCTCTACTGCATCGTGGGCATCGATTCGGAAGAGGTGAGCAACTTCCCACTGAGTATTCCTCATGCACATCCCGCTACTCCCACCGCCGGCATGGGCTCTCGCTCGCACCGAACACCACCCCGGTGCTGCAGCCTGTGTCCTCAGTGCTGGTTTGCAGCTGCTTTTATCCAGGATTTAAAACCCAGGATGTGCATCATTGGTGAGGTGGCAGGATAGTGCCAGAATTTAAAAGCAAAATGCAATAATTTTAAAGCATTCATTTCACGCCTCCTTAAGCTGTCTAACTCTGCGGTGATATATTGCCAACAGGGGATGTGAACAATGCCCTGATGAGTAGGCATTCGCTTTAATGATGCGTGGCTGCCGTGGTGCGTGTGGCTTGTAAAGAGCAGTCTGTGATCTCGTGTGTGGCCAGAGGAAGTGTTAACTGCGCGGTACCCGGCGAGGATGGAGTGAGTGTCCGAGTTCCGATGGATATCACTCACCAACACATCGCTGTGTCTATATGAGGCACCCACACTAAAGATATTTTCTTTAGTGTATCTACGTGACTTTACCGAAAGACCCAAAGAATATAAAGATAGGCTTCCAACAGTTTTGCATATGGGTTGAAAATATTAATAGGACACTTGCATTATCCTGGCTTATTCTTTCATATCTTTCAAATCACCAGAAACTTCACGAAGAGGCATTTCAGCGCCAAGTATCTACTAATCATCTGTATTGGGTATCAGAGTGCGCAGCGGTATCACAGTGACATTGCGCTGCGTCTCTGTTCATGCTGCATGGCTGTGTTGTTTCAGAATGAGCTGGAGATCTACGAACTAATTCACAACTTCATAGAGACACTGGACAAGTACTTCAATCGCGTGGTGAGTGTCTCACTCAGCCACGCGGCAGCATCAGCAAAAGCAGAGAAAGAGCATACCTACTATTGAAGGGAGGTTGGTTGAGTGTTTATCCAGAAAGCCTTTATCCCTGGCGCAGGGAACACATGAAGGGGAGCAGAGCGAAAACAGGGAGGGCAATCTTATAGTTGGTGTGAAAATGGATTGGGAGCCAGTGGAGAGATTTAAGGGTTGGGCTGATTTCGTATTATTTAAGAGTGCAAGTGGCAGCAGCATTTTGATCTTTTGGAGTTTGGAAGTGAGGAGTTTGGGGAGGCTATCATGGAGAGAGATGCAATTGTCAAGCCAAGAGGTGATGAAGACAATCTTTAGAAAACCAAAAATGTAGCATATTACCATGGGCGATCTCACAGTAAATATTACCAGTGCTTGAAACTGCTCTTTGATACATTAATTTCAATTAATTCTCATGCTGATGATATAGACGTAGAATAGTGTAAGAATACTGAATGTAGAATTTCTATGTTGTGTGACTGGGTCACATGAGCGCTGCAGACATTTTAGTATCCACATGCTTGATAATGATTTCTATTTTGTAACTATTTGAGTTGGACAGTTCAACATTGCACTTCTAATGCTGTTGTCTCATCCTTTCAGTGTGAACTTGCCGTATCCTTTGAAGCTCACGATGCTTTACGAGCAGTAAGTTCTGGCTGGTATCAGAAGCACTCCTGTTTCGGTTGTGTGCTGATTTTGTTCGTATAACCGATTATGTGGCATGCTCAAGCACAAACTTAGTAAAGCCTCTAGGGTTGCCAGTCTGTTCGTGTTGTGGGAGTTTCCACTGCAGCATGTGAATAACGCAACGTGCGCATACACGGATGCGAGTGGCTGTAGGCACGCCCGGAGAAGCAGCTCGGTCGTAGACCCAGGAGCTGTGCGTGTTTGTTTACACGCGTGTACATCAATGACTGGTAACGCGGTCGTGTTTGTGTTACTCAGTAAACACTCAGCTATTTGGATGTTCACGCTTTTATGTCTAATGTCCCAGATAACCTGATAACTGACGTAACTGTACAGGAACTGTACAGGAATGTTTTAAAAGCAACTGTCGATCATGGCTGTGAAGTGTAAGGAATACAGTTGTTTAATGTTTATAAACCTTGCCATGTACTTGGGAAAAGCTAAAGTGGTGGTGAGGGTGGAGGGAGAGTATGGCCTGAATACTGTCTGTGAAGTGCCTAGGTGAGTCCTTGACACGGCGACGCCAGATCATGTTTAACCTGGAGAAGGTGCACATGGTGTTGGACGAGATGGTGGTGAATGGGCGCGTGGCTGAGACGAGCCAGACTCGCATCCTGGCTCCCATCTACTTGATGGAGCGTGCCGACCAGAGCCAGTAAAGGCCGCGGGGACGCGAGGACGCGAGGTGCGGGGGATACGGCACGTGACCGGCTGTTGCCGTCCTGTGTGGAGGACGCGGCGCTGCGAGCCGACCGGAGAGGCTTCTGCAGCGACTGGCGGCTCCTGCCCAGTGGGGCCAGCGTGACCGCTTGGCGCCCGGGGAGGGAAGCGCCACCACCTCTTACATTCAGCGAGCGTCAAAAACCTTACCCATAGCTCACGTTTGTCAGCTGTGTTGAACTACCAGCATGCAACAACCAGCATGGCCTGGTATTTTTTTTCAAGTGGATCTCAAATCCAATTCGCACCGTCATGAGGAAAGTGCAAGTGTAGTATGATTTATTTTGCACACCCCCATTCTCCGAACTGAGCATCAAATGTTGACAATTTTACTTGTCTGACTTAAACCTTACTTCAAAGTGACGTGATTACAAAACCTCGTACTGTAATTCATACTCGGCTGCGAGCTGCCGATGCGGTGAGGCGAGGGTCCGTGCCGAGCGCGCCGTGCGCACAGCCGCAATCTGCTTGGCTGTCATCCTCGCTGCCCAGCCGAGCACACCGCCTGGCGTCATTTGCCACGATGCGCGTGAGGGTTTGCCACCTGCTGCTGGCCCTCGCCATTTCTCTCAACCTGCTCTTCATGTATTACTTCATGAGAGAGAGCGGTCGAACAAAGGCGGCGCTGGAAGGCAGGGGCGGCGGACGGGCCGGGGCGAGGTCAACCGCCAGCCGAGGCCTCCCCGTGCGAGGGACCTCGGACACGCCGAGGGGCGGGACGGCTCGCCAGCACGGCGAGCGTGGCCAGCGCCGCGAGGGGGGCGGCCCCGGGGGGGCCTCCGGCCCGCCGAGGCGCCCGGGCGTGGTGGTGCTGCTGCGGGAGTTCGAGGAGTTTGAGAACAGCGTGGGGGAAACGGCGCGGGGTCTCCTGGCAGACGGAGGCCCCGAGCGGGAGGTGCTGGTGCTGTCGGACCGCGACCCTTACCCGCCCCTCGCCCTGCCGCCAGGTGCCACCGCGGGCCCCTCCTTGCACGGGGGGCGTTGTGGTTTGAGGCTGTGTTCATATCGGTCGTGCAGACTCGCACAGCAGATTCCGGCCTCCTGTTTGAAAATGGAGTCGGATTCTCTTTGTGAATACAGTAGATCCAAATTTTACCATTTGTACAAGCCCTTGCAGTGTGCTGCAGTATATATTCACCCTCTACAAAGCTTTTGCATAAACGTCCTAATGTTTATCTCCAGCACTCTTCATACAAAGGGTGAAGAAATTAACGTGTTAAGTCACGTTTCTGTATAGGCTATGAAAAGCTGGGCCTGAATTTCAAGAAATACGATTTTAATGTATCAAAACTAAAACCAGTGTTTCAGTGTGATGAGTACCCACAAATGGGAATATTCAGTCGGGGTCTACCATATAGCACTTGTACTATTCAGCCAATTGCTTATTCCCTTCTCTTGGTAGACCTCCTGTGAAACCAAATGTAAAGCCAAATAGATTGAAGCAATGTATTTTTCCATAAACTGTCTCCGTCTCCTCGTATTTGTATGTCCTCTGTATTGTTTTGTCGCTCTGTTCTCTGCCTCCGTCGGCCTGCGTCGTTGTGGCCGTCGGCCTCTAGTTTTGTCACCGCCCGTGCCGGGGCTCGGGTCTCCAGGCCTCACCGGCTGCCATCCCTCCAGGAGCACGCCTGGTCGCGTTGTCGGGCCACCCTGAGCGGGCCGTTGCCGAGGCCAGCCCCGAGCGCCTGCTGCGTAGGGAGGCCGTGCTGCTGGTGCCGGACGGAGTGGCGTGGTCCGGCGCGGGAGGTGCGGAACTGTTGCGGCGCCTGCAGGAGGAGCTGGGCCGATCTTCGGGCAACGTGCGCATGGTGGCGCTGCCCGTGCGGGGTGATGTCCCCACGCGCTGCCTCGACCTCTCGGTGCGCCGCCTCGCGCGTGACCCTGCGTGCTCGCGGAGTCAAGTCGAGGGACGAGGCAGAGAATCCACAATGGGGCACGGCCCCGCTCATCGCGCAGTACTTGGGCAGGAGAGCGTGTGCAGGTGTCCACAGGAAACAGCGTGGAACGCTTCAGCCAATCGGCCTTCCAGATAAAATTACTGCATTGCCAGAATATATTGATCCAGTAGACATTGATGATTGATTCAATTATATTTTAGGTGATAAAACAATCCGGCATGCTTAGTTATTTGTTAAATATTCACAATGAGATAATACCTCAAACATCGCTGCAGCTTCATCTGAGTTTCCATCACAGTGAAAGAACGTTGAAAGGGGCGATGGTCGCTGGATGTAGAAGGCTCAGCAGATGACAGATTTTGCTCCAAATATGTTAGAATGAATTAAGCAATTAGAATATTCAAGCCCATAAACAGATTACAAGATCACCACCAGCAGACCACATGGTGGACTGATTCAATCGGTGAACCCGTGCCCTTGGATGCCCAATACGGAACGACTGGGCGACACCAGTGCCTCCCACGCACGGCCGGCTTTGCGCGTGATCGGTGTTGCTTCTGGAATTATTTGCCTTCGTAATTTTTTTTATTTTTGGGGATCCTTTCCGGTATAGCCCAAATCCTAGCTTTGCCAAGTCTGGCTTCGAGAGGTTGTACATTACAAGTTGAATGAGCATATGATGTGTGGCAGTGGGCATGCGTGGTTGTGTGTGGTGCTACCTTCAGTCAAAGTGTCTCGAGTGAATAGCCTGGTGCAGTGCTCATCCTCATTATTAGGCCAAATACAGGCTCTCAAAATCCAATCCTTCCATTTGATCAGCCCCAATGGATTGATGAGCCAAATCAGCCCCAACTGGGGTTTCAGCCTGATTGTCAAACATTCTGGTCACATTGACACCCAGCCAGCTGTGCACAAGGTGTAATGATTACATGCTTGTGAGTGTGTACAAATGTATTGGCATGCGCTCCTTGTGTGTGTGTTAGGTGTGTCCAGCTGTGTGGATGTGCGGACATACGTGTGCCTGTACAGGTGAGAGTGAGGGAGTGGACAGCGGAGTACCGGGCGCCCACGCGCGCTGACGAGTGTGATGCTCTGACTGGTGATGCCGTCATCTTCATCCGCACGCCGGTACTGACCGGGCTCGAGCCACACACCGACTTACACACTCCCCTGGTGCACGAATACTCAACAGCGACTTACACACTCCCCTGGTACACGAATACTCAACACCAACTTACACACTCCCCTGGTACACGAATACTCAACACCGACTTACACACTCCCCTGGTACACGAATACTCAACACCGACTTACACACTCCCCTGGTGCACGAATACTCAACAGCGACTTACACACTCCACTGGTGCACAAATACTCAACACCGACTTACACACTCCCTTGGTACACGAATACTCAACAGCGACTTACACACTCCCCTGGTGCACGAATACTCAATACCGACTTACACGCTCCACTATTACTCATTACAAACCAGACATGAGCCACACACAAAATTCAACACTTGCACTCACCATAATACACTTTACTGGTATATGTCTACACTTGGACTTGGCAACTCACAAGGGCACATATGCCGAGCTTGGTTTCATCGACTGTCGGGGCAACCTTTGTTGATGAGCATCTGTGCAATCAAGCGCGCCAAGCTGTGGGGTGATGTCGCTTGGACCCAGCCCTGCCACTTTCATCTCCCATTCGCTGCCATTGACGTACCGCATGAAGTATTCCTTTAAGGCCGAATTTACCTACTTGAGGCCCATACCCAGTTCAGTTACCACTTCCCGCTGTTGTTGTGCTCGTGGGGAGGTGACCTGCGACGCTTTGTGCCCACGGCCTACAAGGCTACGCGAGATGCGTACCACGTGTGATCTCCGGTCCCTGCGCGTGCGTGTCCAGGACCTGCTCGGCGTATCGCTCCCTTGGGCCCGGCCCCTGCACACGGCGCTGTTCCTGCAGACGGCGCTGCGGGGTTGGCGCGTGCGGCTGCTGCGCGACGTGGCGCCGCTCGCACGCCACCCCCTGCTGACCGACGCTCATGCGCAGTGGAAGGCGAAGCAGCGGCGGCAGGCGCGGCTCGACGCGCTGCACCGGGACCTGGACATCCGGCTGGTACCAATAGTCGACCGCTTGCAGAGCGCTACGATGCTTGTGTACACTGAATGTGCAACACATTCTCTACGGGCCCCTTGAAGTATTTTGTTTTTTGTCAATGCGCATGTTCGAGATATTGCACATGAGCGCACATCATCTACTACACCCAGATTCATCAACTGCTGCTGCTGTACAATGCTGGGGTCACACTCCTATTCCCCTGTGAGTCCCAGGCAGATGCCTATGTCCAAACTGGCTCAGGAACCGCTGCATCCACGCGGAGGGAACTAAGTGTGTGCTGCCGGGGTCCGCTTGCTGCCGGGGTGCGCGTGCCGCCGTGGCGTGCGTGCCGCTGTGGCGTGCGTGTGTGCCGCTGTGGCGTGCGTGCGTGCCGCTGTGACGTGCGTGTCAACGTGTTCGGTGCACAGGTGCGCGACGCCGCGGGCCAGGAGACATGGTTTGGCTGCAGCAAGAACACGGCGCGCTGCTTCGGCTCGGTGCTGGACGACACGCCCGAGTATCTGCACCGCGGCCGCTGGACGCCGCCATGCTGCCTGCGCGCCCTGCGCGCCACGGTGGCACGCGTTGTGGGCGAGCTGGAGCGCGCGGGGGTTCGCTACTGGCTCGAGGGTGGCAGCCTGCTCGGAGCCGCTCGCCACGGCGACATTATCCCTTGGGACTACGACGCGGATCTCGGTCTGTACCGCGATGACATCACCAAGTGCGAGCTGCTCAAGCGGGCGGCAGGTGCGTGGGTGTCCCTGGCTGTGTCCCTGGTGTTGTGCACATGCCGTTGTGGTGTACGAACGTGGCAGAGCGCGTGTGTGTAATTCCAAATAACACAGGATGAGATGTTACTATCCTTTGTGCAAGCACTTCCAAGAGTTCATGAACAGTGAGCCTGGTGAAATTTGGGGAGCGCATCGTCAGTAGT